TACAAACGGGTGCATAGTTATTATTATTATTATCATCATCATTATCATTATTACTCTTACAGTTACATGATTTTCTACCAAATTATATGTAATATCTAATTATTATATTAATATTTAACTTGCATTGGAAAGGTTTCCGTGACCTCTCGCGAGATCTCGGCAAAAAGTCTCAAGATTTATTTCCAGAACATGATGCATGATGCCTCGAATAGCGCTCCGGAGCGGTATTCGAGATAGTGTGGATTTAGTGTGCGTTAAGGGCACAGGCTTTGGCGTTTTTAAGACCTGGGACAGTCTTGCGCGCTTACTTCCTGTCGCGCGCACGTGCTCTCAAGTGGCCAAGACTGCAAGTGTGGGTATTTGGGCAAGGGGACTAACTCTGTGAACAAGTGACCTATTTCAGCTGCGTTTCAGCGTCTATTTATAGTGTAGGGGCGGGACATTTCAAATTCTAGAGAGCATTTGATTGGACAGAAAGTTTGATGAGAAGTTGAAGTGAGGGGTGACCTCATCAAAACCGCTAATTCATATTGCCGGAATATGTGTAAGTTTTGAATGCTTATATCTTCTAAATACAAATTTTGTCATCGCTTTGGAGCACACTAGCTTATAGCTATAAGGCTAACACATTAATACTAAAAGCCCAAAAAATTCCATTTTGATTTCATGGGGACTTTTAAGGCTAACATACTAAAAGCCAAAAAACTTCCATTTTGATTTCATGGGGACTTTAAAGTCGACTAGTCTGGGCCCCTATGTGAAATGAAAACACTGTTGTTTGTTTCTGTACAGAGCATGCAAAGTCTCAGTTGAACGCCCATTCCAACCCTTGTGATTTCCAACTGGACGCGTTGAAACCTTTTATGGGCGGTGCTCCGATGTAAAATCAGTCTGCTTGTTTGTTTGGTTAAACGTCATATGGAAATGATTTCAGCGGCTAAGCCCCTCGCACCATAGTTGAGCTGCTCGTTTGCTGTGTGTTGATACCGAACAAAATGGCTGCAGAGGCTTGATTCTGACCCGACACTCTCAGCGCTTTCTCCGGACACTCCGCACTTATTCCTGGATATTTCCACTGTCGTTTTAAAAACATCTCTGGATTTCTCCACACGACTGCAGCCAGGCTGCTCACCACATCGCTCGCTATCTTTATTTTTGCACTTTAATGAAGCAGCTTGCATCGCATAATCTCATGTCAGCCTACCAGACAGTAGCAGCTTTAAACTGCCCTCTTCTTCGTTTTGCACCGTAGACGAGATGCTATTTCTGATGACCAATTTATGCCACAGTACTTGACACACTGCCTCGCCGTTTTAATGTATTATTTTCTGTCTTTTCGAGGCTATTTCGTAGCGTATATGTCATGGAAATGTCATCTGCTGTTTTTCCAGCATGTATGCATCTATAATCTCCATCAGAGCCCAAAACTCGGAGTCTGCATATAAATTTCACGACATTCCTTATCCCTTTGCATATTGAATTTTGTGTTTATTTCCGTTCTGCTGCCTTTTTGGGACACTTTCGGAATTTCAGCAGCTCATTCAGCACAGTGTTACTTGGGTCTGTCTGTTTTTACGGGTACCTTTTTTTTTTTTTTTTTCGCAAAAAATGGCCTTTTGTACCGCTGTACAACATGCAACATTTTTTACTGAAAACCGCCAAAGCTCGACTTGTGAACAAAAAGGTAAGTTGAGATATTGGCTCTGTCTCAAAACTTCGGCTGCTGACTCTTTAACATCTATGATTGCAACCAATGTTGTCTAGGTAGGCAGCTCACTAGGTTAAAACAACAACAACCTTCTGATCATCTCTAAAACAGGCTGCGAATTCAATTTAAATCTAATCCGTTGGAAACATTTGTGTGCTGTGGCGTAGAGGTTTAAAATCTGGGCTGTTACCTGAAAGCTTGTAGGTTAATTGACCATAAACACGCTTAACCAATTTACTTAAGGTAGACTGAGCCTGTAATGTTTACTGTTAGTTACTTTACTAGCATCAAATAAATGATTACTTGGATAAAAGTGTTTTAGATTTAGTCGTGTAATCTGTATTTAGAGTCTTATTACACTGAAAAGTTTTCTTAATTTTTAGTCTTTCATTTTAATTTTTAGTAGTTCTATTTATTTACTTTTTTTTGTTTATTTTAGGATATTAATTTATTTTAGAATGTTAATTAGCATACCACAATTCCATAGTAATAAAATATGCAGTGAATCTGATATTTTATTTTAATTTAATGTTAATTTGGTTCTTAGGGGAGACATATCCATGTTGTCAAAATCAAAAAAATATCCCTAAAACGCAATGGCACGTTTTTGCATTTTTAAATGTTTGAGGTGGTACAAAATCAAGGGCTTGACATTTGCTATTACTCTTCCTGTCCCTCAGAATAATAGAAGATTCAACTAATTATAATCTGGGTACAACTAATATCACATGTATGCTTCTGATCCTATTAAACATTACAGTTAAAACCCTCCAATTAACAGGCTGATCACTGTTGCCAAGTTCTTTCATGCTGAAAGGGATCTATTCATCATGATATTTAATTTCTGTTGGTTATGTGATTTCCAGCAAAACACACAAAGAGGACAGCCTGTAAGTTCAGTGTACTGACATATATTTTACAGGAAAGAGACTGGAAAGTCTGCTTTGTTGACTCTAAGAATGCTTTTTTTATGTCAGTTTGTTAGATCTAGCCTAGATTCAACAGACATTAGCTGTTTATAATATATTCACATACTAAGGGTCATTTGCTTCACCTTGTGAAAAAATTGCATTCAGTATTATTTGCTAAATACTTCAGAGCAGTTAGAATATTAGCTTTTTTTTCATGTAGAAATTATATATATTTTTTTAAATAACCATCTTTGCTCTCTGAGAACTAAAGGAATTTGGATGTGTCATCCTTCTCTCTTATTATTCTAGTACTTTTTGTCCATATTGTCATTGTGTTCTTTTGTAGCTTTGCTTATTGTCTTGTGCACTTAGTTGAGAACCATAATTTTATTCTTCAATCTATTTTTCTCTCTTGAAAATCATGTCACACTTGGCTGATGCCAGTGATAAAATGAATAGGGCAATTCACTTGTAATTCATAACCCATCTACCCTTTGAGTGTGTGCTGCTCAACCTTAATTTTAAATCACACCAAAACGAGGAGCTCCTTTGCTCCAATACACCCAGATTCAGCTCTCCCTCCTTTCGTCTGGGTCTAGGAAACCACCGTCCCTCATGGCACTGCAGGGGATTGTGGTCCAATCATGGAGGCGTGAGACGCCAGTGTTCAGCTTGTGTCAAAAAGGCAAAAAGGGCAAGCAATACAGATGAGCGATCTCACTCTGGACTGTAAGGGTGCAGAATACAGAGCTTGTAAAAGCAGAAAGAGACAGGGAATTCCTTGTATTTCATGAGATTCTCTGTTTACATTGTGGCTTTCTATTTGGTGTCAGCCCCACTTTATAGCTAGACATAATTTAATATTGGCTTCTGTGGTGGGTGCACACTGCCTCCGTCATGCTCTGATAAAATTAGAGCACATTGTTCTTGTCTGCACAGATTTCAAAGGCTGGCTGTGGTGAATTCTCCTTTGCCGGAGTTCAGGTTGTATTTCTATAACAGTAGAATTAGCCTGATTTTCGTTCTTTCCTGTGCATAGAATTTTTAATTATTATTATTATTTTTCAAGGAGGTATTTTTCTTCAGGCCGTTGTGTACTATCTAACCACATTTCTGTAATTTCTTAAATAAAATATCTCAAGAGGTTAGACACTGCTGACCTGGCATCAAAACCCCTGTCTGGTTATTAGATATGTAGTGTCTACCTGAATTGTTTTCGAATTGTCAAATTTTTAAGATAGTTTAAAAAGGAAATTCCTCCCTGATGTCAAATTTAAAGAGGGAAAATTTACGAGATCTTTCCACCCATATTTCTCTCATTACCTCATCATGACATTACAGTCCAGTTCAGTTTAACATTGAACCCTATGATGTAAGAGGCTGAAATCCTCTTGTACATGTGAGAGGAGAATGGTGCGCCACGCAGCAGGACAGGATGGGGTACGGGTTAGGGAGAGAACTGGAGAAGAAAGCATTTGTGAGTGTTGGCTGGTGTCCCAGAAAATGTCCCTGCTGTGTTGCAAGGTCCTTCCCCCATTCTTATGATAGCATTTTGCTAGACTCTAGGTAGAGTAAAGCTTTGAGATTTTGAGGTTGTGGATGGTTCTTGTTTGTGGATTATTGCATTTTAGATTACAAGTTTTGTTTAACCCTTGTTCTGTTTCTCTATTAATAGGTCAGAAAACATAAATCTTAAACAACAAATTTAATGACTTCTGCTAATATTTTGAGAACTGATACTTCAAATGTCCTTTTTGGAAAAAAAATATTTTATTTTTTAAAAATATAATATTTAAAAAAAAATATATTTTATGTTTGTGATCTCAGAGCCTGGGTAAAACAACATGAATAAATGCACCAAGCAACCGTAACAATGAAAGTCGATGTCAGAAGAACACAAATATTAATATTTTAGATTCTTATTTGTGGTTTCTAAGTATAGTTACAGGATAGTTTTGTATTTTTCTTTTCTGCTTAGTTGTGCCAATAGCACAGATTTTAGTAGTGCAGTAGTTCCAACATTTTATTCTACAAAAATATTTGTTCCACAAAAAATATTTACATAAAAATAAAAGGCTGTTGTTAAATAATGGTTTCGATGCAAAACATCACTGGTTGTTTTATAATTTTCACCATATTCTAATTTATATTAGAACTAAATAGAATTTCTAGCCAGCTGTTTAACTTCATCTCGCAGCCAAAATAAAACAAGGGATAGAATACATGTATTTGATTAACAAATGTCACTGACAACACAGAATTGGCCTATTGGGGCAAGTGACAGTTTTGTTAATTGCCAGCCAGCCATCACTGTCATTGAGCCCTACACTGTAAAACCCGATAAGTTCAGAATACTCAAAATTTTTGTGGACTAAGACTGCTTAATTAAGCAACTCAAATTTTTTAACTTAACATTAATTATAAATAACAATTAAGTCAAACTAAAAAGCTTAAATTTGTTTTTGCTTAATGTTTAAGTGCAGTGTACTAAAAATTATTGTTTATCATACGTAATGTTTTTCATTTACCAATTATTTTAATGCAGTAGTGCTTTATTAAATACAAATACTAACTCAAAAAATACACTTATGCATAAAAAAACACACGCACAACTGTGGCTATACAATTGAGGATTTTTTATTCAGCCTTTTTTAAACCGCATGAACTGTGTATTTCTGAATGTCAAACACTGGAAGATCATCTCATCACAACTGCAGTGCTTGCAGGACTTGTAGTGGTTTCATTGTCCATGATAACAAAATCAGCAGGAGAGGTGTTTGTGTCAGTGATGTCTGGCTCGCCCAATTCCTCCTGGAATAAGCAAAGAGGGTAAAACTTTAACTTCAGAGACTAAAAGTAGACATTTATATTTACTGCCAATAGAGTGGGGGAACTATAACGTCAGAACCCGGAAGAGTAATTCGCCGTGGGTTCCTTCTAGATTTTCCTATGGGGTTTTATAATGGGGTTTTTCAATTAAAATAAAGCCCGTGGTAAACATAACTTGACGATACTTTTACGTTTTGTTGTACAACGTAAATTACACACATCCATACCCAAAATAAATTTTTTGAAGCAGTTATGTTCATTTTTGAAAACGTATGTTTTTAATAAGTAGCTA